AATAGTCCTTGATAGATTTCTCAGCATAGGTCTAACATGGATCCCTTACTTGGATTTACACATCTTACCTGAGTCGTTCTTGCTCCAGTGTGAGGTTCTCTCAGGGTCACAAATTTCCAACACCAGCAGCATGGATTTCTTACTGAAATTCCAACATCCCACTTGAGCCGTCTCGCTCCAGTGTGGGTTTCCCTCAGAGTTACAAAGTCTTCAACAGGATTCTGCTTCACCTCAGGTTTCTCATGAAGTCTCGGCTTCTTTATGCATCAACTTATTCCAGTGTAGATTCTTCTACGAGCAGCATGGAGGTCTCCTCACCCCAGTAAACTTCTATAGGTGGCAGGGATTTATTTTTCAGTCTTTTCCCTACTGAAGAGAGAGACTAAAAAGGGGGAGAAACAAGTCCTCTTTGCACGGTTCTTCTCTCTCCTCTGGCTGCTAGTTTTGACCTTGGACACTCCGTTATCTCTGTCGGAATTCTTCTGCCACAGTTTCTGTCCAAGCAGTTCGCCTTTTAAAGTTTTTTTTTCTTCACTTTCTTACAGAAGAAAAGGGGGAGTTTCAGTGTTACACCTACCCCCCCAGTCCAAGCCGGGGGAGGAGGGGGCCTGGCCCTCCTTGGGCTACCCCTAATTTCAACTACGCAATCCCCTTCTCTTCCATTTTCTTAAATATGTAGTTAGTAAAGGCGTTACTGAGAGTTTTAATTGGCTTCTTGTCTGGAAATTCACCTGGACAAAACCATTCTCAGTCCTAGGGGCTGGCCGACTGGGCAAAACCACAACACTTATCTAGCCTTAGATTCTCCAGGTGCTCGTTAATCCTGGTCTATATGTGCTTGTATTGGGGAAGATGCAGCCCCTCTTCAATGCCTTTTGGGACAATCCTTTTCACAAGCTGCAGTAGTCAAAGAGCGCAAAATGCTGTTAAACTGCTGGGACAAAACATTTACAAATAAGACAGAAGATAGCAAAAACAAATACAATAGTCATGGTACTGTCTAGTGTGTTGACAGTATTATTTAAATTGCTGTCCGATTTTTGTATATGCACTACCTTTGGAGATCATAGGCTGATTTTACCAAAACTCTCAACCATGATGAGAGCTTTTCTTTATTGGTCTTTTTTGTTTACCTACTCCTGACTTATTTCAGGAATTCTTATTGCAGTCCAAAACCTCTTGTCTTGGTGCATCCCACTTGCAGTTGTTAAGGCATTCATTCATTTCTGCACAAAAGTTGTTTCCATCCATACAACTTTCAGTCTGAGTTCTGGTGGCACAGTTTCCACATCTGTCTGCTAAAATAGACTTTCTGCAAACAGTTAACTTCTGATACACTGTTAGTTCATATTTGGAGCAAAACAGTGACCCCCCTTCTGATTTTGCCACAATCCCCTCCTACCCCGAGCTCAATCAGGACACAGAGGGCAGGAATATTCACAGGTTGTGAACCTGAAACACACCTAGAGCACACAGGGGCTAATATAGCTAGCTCTTCTTTCCCCCTCCTTTTCGTGTTAGCCAGTCCAATGGGCAAGGAGAGGGGCCACAGCAGTGGCCCATAAAGGGGAGAGTGGGGGCGATCAAGCTGCCCTCAGTAACCGAAGCAATCGTTTTGCCGCTTGCTGCAAAAGCGGAAACCTCCCCCCTCCGAGGGTCAGCAGTAGCTTAGCCCGTAAATACAACTCCATTCACTTGGGCTGTCACATTGCCCCTTTTTTGTTCTAAAAGCATGGTTTTTAATATAGAACACACATCAAAACTATCTCCATGTACATATCTTAGGACAACAAATAATCCAGCATTGTTTTAGGTTTATGAGGATTCCCAAAAGCACAAACCTTGAGATATGTGTAAGCAAAGCAACTTTATCTTATTATTTGCGATAGCATTCACCACATACTAACCCCTGAGTTCCCAAAAAGGCACTGAGCAGGGGAGGGAGACAGAACACAGTACAGAATGGTGGGGGGCACAGGCAGGCCACACACCCCCAGGGTGCCCCCCGGATCAAAGTGGTGTGCACCCCATTCTCCCCACCCGAGTGGCACCCTTCAATTGTGACACTGGTTCACGTGTGACCACCGCATGAACCAAAATCATAATAGCTTATGATACCAACTTCCTACTAACAATGGCTCTGTTGCAACCCCTCCAAAAATCAAGTTCCCAACAGTAAAACCACACAACACTTTCCCATGCCACACGGACAAACACAACCACAGACCCACAGTAGCAGGACCTCCAACACAACCCAGATCCCCGACACAGGCACAAACCAATCAATCAATTCAAAGCTCCAACCTCCTTCCCTCTCTCCTCATCAATTTCAACACTATTCTTAACTTTCTTCTCTAAATTCAACTATGAATGTGTGTGAGGGTATCTAATTGCATGCATACACTTAGGACTTGGTGTTTTTTGGTTTAAAGCACAAAACATACTATAGAAATAATTTTCCTATTTTTTAAATTACCAAAACCAAAGTTATAGACTTTTTCTTCCTGCTACTGCAGACACCACTGCTTCAGTTTCCTCCCCTGCCTGGGAGAGGAAGGAAAAAGGGGCCAGGACCGTGGGGGTTTTTTTCGTT